CGCTGTCTCTGTCTCTGTCAAATAAATAAATAAATAATCTTAAAAAAAAATAAAAAATAAAATAAAAACTCTGACAGACTACAATTTACTTTAGTGAACTAAAATGGTACTTGCCTTCTTCTATCTTTAGATACTCCTGTTCAGTCTGTGACGCATAGATGGCAGACAACACTGAATAAACAGAAGCTAGCACTGTTTTCTGTTCTTGAAGTATGATGGGTGGATCATCAGACTGGCAAAATTCATGGCAGACCAGGTCAAAAAGTAAATTCCAAGTGTCTTTTCCAGTATCAGGACACTGTACTTAATAAAAATGATAAAGCAAATAGTCATATAACAACAGAAAACAATTCAATGAATAACTCCAGTGCTTCCCTATAAAACACCTTACCAATTGCTTGAATTCCATCGTCCACTGTGGTAAGCAGCTGTAAGATATGCATGTAAACATCGAGCCCTTCTGGATTTTCAGAACTACATACAAAAAGCAAAAGCACTGAATCAACAACTCTGTAGGACTGCAATCATTCACTCATTCAACAAATACTTTTATCACTTTGTACTAGTCACTGCCCCAGGTGCTGAGGATAAATCAGGGAACAGGACAAAGACTTGGTGCTCACCAGAGGTTACATTTCAAGGGGGGAGCAGGTGGGAACAGTCAAAAAACAAAGAAATATTATGGAATATAATCATCACACAAGGACGAGATGTAAAAGGTTTTTTTCGCCCTGTCCCACAAAAGCAACAATGCAAAAACCTTTAGGTGATACTTCCTCATTCTGGCATCATCAGGAAGAAAAATGGCTAAAACATTTATATAATGAATGAAAGGCCCACTGCCGCAAGCACCGATAGTAACGACGTTCTCAAAACTTCACAACTCCCCTAGCTCCCTAGCTGAGAATACTAAAACCATGTTAAGCATAATTTTTGTGATCAACAGCTTGGATTCCTAGAAACCCACAATCTTAGTTCCTCGAACAGTTAAGTAAAAAAATTAGTGAACGATAAAAAAGATGGTTCAGCAAATACTTCAGTACCTACTATTTTCAGGCACTATGTTAGCAGCTGGGAAAACAGAGATGTGTAAAACACTGTTTCTATCTTCATGAAGTTTATAGTCTAAAGGAGAGAAGAGAATTAAAGGGCAATTATGATAAAGTGATATGAATGTAATACTAAAAGAAGTCCAAGGTGCTAGAGGACCACACGGCGAGCAGACTTAAAATTTTTAAGTTTGGAGAGTCAGGAAAGGTATCTTAAGACAAATGATGTTTATGCACAGAGCTGCAGGAGAAGTGTTTGAAATAAAAGAGACATGATATGCAAAGGCTTGGAGACAAAAGAGCTTGGTTTTGTTGATGAAAGAAATTTCACATGGCTGAAACACACAGAACAAGTAATAAGGATGGAGAAGCACTAAATCCTTGTAAGCCACGCTTTAACAAAAATCTGGACCTCATCCTAAGGAAAACCATGGAAGAGTCCGAAGCATGAAAGTGAGATGATGAGCATGTGCTTTGGAAAGATGGCTCTACAGTCCAGGTTTGGAAAAATGCTGCAGTTATCTAGGTAAGAGACAGTGGCGGGGTGATGGCATGGATGGGATCCTAGAAAACGTCAGGAACAAGTTTTGGGAGGTTGACTGGCCATGGAAAAAGAGCAGGATGGGGAGGAAAAGTCAGTAATGACTTCCACATCATCCTAATGGGATAATGATTGCATCATTCACTGAGATTGAGAACAGTGAAGAAGCAGGTTTGGAGGAAAGATGATGAGTTTAATCCTCACTTGGATAAAGGACATAAAATTCATAGACTTTACTATGGGTTATTAAGCACAAAGAATAAACAATTGACCATTAAGCAGATCAATTCACAAGTTAATTTTCTAGTGACTAGCAAGAAAGTTTCAATGACCTACAACACCTAGCAATCACTGTTGGCAAGACATCAGAGCCCAAAACTCAGTCACTTATCCAAGACTGACATATATACATAAGAAGCAAGAAAACAAATGATGTCTGACAATAACTGAAAAAGTTGTTAAATGTTTGATGGAAAACAAAACACAAGAAAATCTTTTCTATTTGACTTAAATTACACAAAACTACAGAAAATTTCAAGACAGTAACCATACTTCATGCTGGAAAAGAGCCTATAGCTAAGTAATATTAGAATAGGTACTTTGTAACCATTATGATTTTTGAAAACAACAAACACACTGTCATCACAAATATTAGTAGTGAATCCAACCTGACAAAGATTGACAGGATGTTATTCATCCTGTTGAAAAGAAACTAAAACTTATATCTAAGGATATTTCTAGCAATTGGATTTTCCCAGAACATTTTGCACAAAAGAGCTCACTTACCGTACTTGTTTTGAAGCTTCAAGTACACAGGGCACAATCTTAAACACTGGCTGCTCTTCAGAATCTTCCTGGGGTGGGTCCAGAGGCTGAACAGCCCCATTTCTAATCCATTCCAACATTAGCTTCTCATCCAAATCAAAAAGCTTGTCCACAACCTCCCCCACCTTGACCAGCAAGTCAACTGCAGACAATAAAACAAATACTGAAATGAGAAACAAAGTTTAAAAACAGTAAGGTTAATCAAAATTCCTAAAGCTATTCCAAGAAAGCCAAATCTTGCCAAATCATTACTTATTCAGAGGGCAATTTATTCACCTCCTTTGTTTAAATTTGCTTATCTTCCTTCATTTTTAAATGAAGACTTGTCAGTATCCTGGTAGCTTAAGAAGAAATTTTATATCTTGAATCAAAATACTTTCTTACCTTACACTTAAAGCTTTTTTTAAGCAACCTCCAGAAATAGTTACATGGTTTCCTAACAATTAAATATAACCAAAAATTTTTCCTAGATTACATGGTGACTTACCATTTGTTGAACTTGACATAATGAAACAAATGCTATCATAAATAGCTGGATATTCCCAGATTCTTTCAACCCAGACACTGGCTACTTCTGTCTGGGAAAGACAAGTAAGCAACAACCTACAAGATAAACATAAGCTTAGTAACTATGCTTGAAAAACAGTAAAGGAAATTCAAGAATGAAGAATTAACTCTATGGTCCTAGATTCCTGTATGAGTGAATATACGGAATCCATAGAAAGAAGAAAGCATACCGGCTTGTTTCCAGAAGAGTAGGAGGGTCTGAATCATACAAACAGTGCAATAACACCTGTCTATAAAAACAAAAAAGTTAACCCAATATGCATCACTTCTCTCATTTCAAATATCTAGGTAGAGTTACTTAATTTTTTCAACATTTTCATTGTGAAATATATATACAAGAAAGCCTATAGGATATAAATTTATACTTAATGAACAGTTATCAAGCAAATACATATTTACAAAAAACAGAACAGTGCTACATCTCTCTGTAGCCTTTGTGTGTCCCTTCCAAATCACAATTCTCTTTCCCACCTAGAAATGACTACTACCTGGACTTTTCCAGCAATTATTTCCTTGCTTTACTCTATAGTTTTATTATTCCATATATTTTGGCTTGGAATGTTATGTGAAAAAATTATACTGTATGTATTCTTTAGAGTCTTAGTTCTTTTGCTCAACACCATGTCTTTAAGATCTACCCTTGCTGGGGCACCTGGGTGGCTCAGTCATTAGGTGTCTGCCTTCGGCTCAGGTCATGATCCCAGGGTCCTGGGATCAAGCCCCGCATTGGGCTCCCTGCTCAGTGGGAGGCCTGCTTCTCCCTCTCCCACTCCCCCTGCTTGTATTCCCTCTCT